GAAGTATAGATACCGCCGTTTAAAAACACTCAACAAAGTTGAAGTATCAACTTCACCTTTTTACTCAAGTAAAAGTAAAAAGTTCCCAAAAAACTACTCCAAAAAACTACTTTTAACCTTTAAAAAAAAAACAGCCAGATGCCACTATATGAACTGAAAGCTTCGACTATTTTGAAAAATTCTCTGAGATGGATGAGGGAGGTCTTGTTGGTCTGCGTCTCCCGATACGCTCTCGCCTGTGCCCGACCTTTCAGACATTTCAATATCTTTTTCTGAATCCCACATTGTAGCATGGCATAGACAATTCACGTTTGCAGTTTGAAGAACACCTGCTTGCTTCTGATGATTTCCTTTAGCTAACCAATGAGCGTTTGCGTTATATGACTCATCCAATGACTCTAGTTTTCACTAGATGTGGATGGAGCCAACGATCTGCATTGGATGGAGCACATGACGGGAAATAAATATTTATAAACATTAAACTAAAGCCAAGAGTAACGAGTAACGTTTGTTTTAAAAATGTAAGGAATAGAAAGTACAGATACCTGTGTGAAAATGTAATGAGTAGAAGTCAGTAGTAGGAAGAAAAATAAGTAATGGAGTAAAGTATAGATACCTAAAAAGTATCTAGTAAAGTATTCATACTTTGTTACTTGACACCTCTGCATACAAATACACAACTTTGGAATTATGGAAAAATAAAGTTAGGTTTAACTAAACCAGAGTGCATTCTCTGTTAAGCTTGGGGTGATTTTCCCCTTTTCAACCTGAGTGGGACTTAAGCTAAAATCTAGATTAGTTTACAATAAGCAAGAGGAAGATTCATCCAGAGATAACGGAAGTGCAGTTAGTTAAATAAAATAAATAATAATAATCAACTTTATTGATCTCACACTGGAGAAATTTACCTTTTCATTTAACCCAACCTCTTGGGGAGCAATTGGCTGCCATTGTTTGGTGTCCGGGCAGTAGAGATTGACACGGGAGTGGATTTTCACTCCTGTCCCGTCCCACTCCCACAGTAAAAAAATTGTGTCCTGTCCCGATCCCGGGCCAGAGTAGAAATCTAAATCCTGTCCCGTCCCACTCCTGGTGAAATTACTCCCACTCCCATCCCGCTCCCATTCAAAATGACTCCCGCTCCTGCACCACTCCCATTCTTGTTGTCTTCAATAAGACTTCTGTCAATACATTGAATCGGAATTTATATGAAGGGTCAGTTAAGTTCCTGTTTCTAACTGTAGTAACTGTTGGTCCCTCCATTGTTGTTTTTGAGCGCGGGTGAAAAACTCATAGCGGAAGCACTGTTGGTTTTTGGGTCGTGTAGTTTTTTTTGACTCGCATTATAGTGTAGGCTTCAAGGAAAAAATCTACAAAATGGCGGCGCCAGAACTGGATTTTTTTCTTTCTATTTTATTTTATTTTTTGCAATCGATCCTAGTTTTGTTTTAGTTACTATTGGTTTTCTCCCGCTCCCGTCTGCTCCCGTTAATGTTTAATCCTGTACCGTCCCAATCACGTGATCATTGCTAATACTGACTCCCATCCCACGGGAATCCCGTGACCCGTGGGATTCCTGAAAAAATGTCAGTCTCTACCGGGCAGCAGTGTGGGGTTAAGGGTCTTGCCCAGAGACTCTGAGTGGAGGCTGTGGGGATCCCGTCAGGTATTTGCAGCCTTCTCAGAGCACAAACACACTACTCTAACCACTAGGCCAGCTCCAGAGCAGATTTAATGGCAGCAATGAGAGTCTAAGCATCCAAAATAGAAGAAGCTTCCTAAACGAATATGTTGGAGGTTGGGATCCTGGATGATAGTATTCACGTTAGATTGAGTTCCAGAGTGAGCTTGAATGTGAGTGAGGCTGTTGGAGGCTTTTCAAGATGGGTGGATACTTTGAGGGCCAGCAGGGAGGGGATTGCTGGGAATGTAGGAGCTGCAATGGGAAATCATGGATGGGTTCCTAGAGAGATCAGTCTTGGGAAGGCTTGGAGTGATAACTGAGAGGTGTGGAAACCATCAGAGGAGAACTGCCTGTGAAGCACAGAAGATTAGTTTGATTGATCAGCAACCAGCTTGATTGGGATAGAAATGAAAAAGAAAGCCAAAAACAACCAGACCTTTCAGAAGGGGTGTTACTCTGCGGAACATGTTTTAGCTTTTCTCTACCAGTAAGGCAGCAGTAAAAATCCCCAACAGCTGATGAGGGAATTGCAAATAAGGTTATAGTGTGTAGCTGCAGTCAGCTGTCATGCCCTCCAGCGAAGATCCTCTATTCAGAGAAGCTGCCTGCAACTTACTAAAAACACGCACACACCAGAATTACAGCTCCTTTTCTTTTAGTCCACACTTATGGACGAATGCATGAAACTATTTGGCACCTTTTTGTAATGTTCAGATATTTTCTCCAATTATCTTGTCAGTTTCTGCAACCACTTTCTATATATAATATGCAATGAAAATGTTTATGTAAACTTCTCCTGACTGATACCTTTGAACAGTCGGATGCTTTTGGTATAATACAGCTTTAGCTAAATGTTTCTAAACTAAACAGTCAAGGACAGATGGACAGCTGACTTTATGGAAGATGGATGCTAAAAATGAACGACAAATTCTTCCAACAGTGTCAGTTTAATTTGTGCATGCTTAGGCAGCAAACTAAAATTATGGAGAGAAATGTCTTCCATTATTGTTGCAATTAAAGAGGATATTTTGTAAAAGTATATAAAAGGGAGTTTTAAAGAAAATATTGTTTTTGTAAATTGAATTTAGAAAAAAATAGTTCTGAAATAAAAAAGACCTTGCACGTTTTTTATATTTGACTTTTTCAAATGTCTTTTTTTAAAACAATGTAATTTTAAAAATATTTCACATCTTTAAACTTTACTTAAATTTTTTTTTTCTATTTTTCATATTTTTATGAATTCCACAAAAACAGGTTTAAATTGTCAATTCTGTTGAGACTGGTCAATGACATTTTTCACATCGAGAAAAATGTCTTAAATCGAGAGGAAAGAAGGTTTCAGAGAGAAATCTGTTTTTGATAGAAAATGTTTTTACTATATATTCTTGTAAGGGCTTTTATTCCCTCTTATTTATTCTGTGACAAAATAGTTTCTTTCTTTGGTCTCAAATAACATCAGTTTTTGCTATCAGTGTGAAAATATATTCTCTCCAATATATTTATTTTACTTTCAAAATTCAAAATCACTACTTTTCTTAAATTTTATAAAAACACTATACTTTGCTTCTTTGCAGTTTGAAAAGAATGCAAATCATAAAACTTAATCTGAACACAAAAACTTAACTAAAAATAAGATAAAATGTGCGGGGGAAAAAATAAAACATGAAAAATTAATTTGAAATAAGTAAAAAAAAAAATAACAAAATCACAGAAAACAGCAAAGTTACTCTCAAAGCCCATTTGCACATTCACTCCACACTAAATTTTTTGGTTTTACATCCCATAAAATACTTGGGGAATTTATTCGGAATTATGTGTAAGTGCAAAACAATCCATTACATTACTGAAACATGTCTTCCTTTTAGCATATTTTTAAAGTAATTCTCTTTTTTTTAAATTCATTTTTAAAGTAATGGCGTCTCCTCCTAGCTAATGAAAAAAATATTTCTATGGATTCCTCTAAGAATATGTTCATATGTTCATGAAGCATTTTTACAAAATGTAGTGATCTAAAATGCAGTTTTATATCCAAACTGAATATAAGATAAAAGTATTTCACAGCCTGATAAGAAAATAATATATTACAGAATTTCAAAAGGCTGTTTCCGGTACTTTTATTCATCTAGAGCAAACTTTTTATTTATGACATTTTAGAAACTAAACTGGAGGACAACTTGGAATCATAAATCCTTTAATACCAGCTCAGGGACTCTCTACCCGTAGCCTATTTAATCAGTCAGATTAAGAGCAAATACTTATTTACAGAATTGGCCAGACAGTTGCATCTCCTGTGACTGCAGGCGAGCGCACGACTGTCAGTTCTGTTTCTTGCCTCTTTTCCTCTTAGATGCAGTTCACGCCTCCTAAAAATCTCATGGAAAGATGGAGAATTGATTGATTCTAACCGGAATCTCATAAATCCCGTCTTTGAGCTGCTGTAGCTAACATCCATCTGTACAGCATATTAATAAACAGACGATACAAGCTTTTAGGAGACATTGTCTGCTCTGTGGCAAACTGTAATCAGGGGAGTTAGGAGGCAGAGTGGAGCGCCGGTTGTGTATCCTCTCGTATAAAACACCAATCATCCATTTTATCATCTGAAGTGGCTATTAGAGCGCGTGCATTAATCAGGCCGAGGGGGCAAACGTAGATGCTAAAGTGAGTGGCCACTGATGAAGACAAGTGCCCCCCACCTAAAATGAGAACGTGTTAGCCTGGTTATGCATCAGCTTGATGGATTCCAGATACCATTCCATTCATTTCCAGCCAGTCTGACTTCCATTCATTTTACCACTTTGCAGGAACTCTGCAGCTTAGTCGGATTGAAGATCAGTGAGAATGAGAATGTGAGCAGAGGGAGATGAACGCCTTGTTTTATGAGCGATGGAAAGCAGCACCGGCGATACACGCACCTCCATTAAAAATCACGCATCAAGATTCAGGGAGAATCAAGAAGAATTTGGAGCAAAATATATGCAAATACAGCCTGAGCAATGTTCCTGCATTCCTACATTTATCCTCAAGGCTAATTTATATTAGAAGCAGCTGCTTTACTCTCCTGAAATATTTCAAAGTTTGGTGGGATAAATATTCTGTCTGTGGAGGAGAGTCTTTATAATTAAAGAGCTTTATATTAAAACCTTTGCGGTGTTTTTGTATTGCAGATCCCATTGAGGGAAAAGTATGCTTCTAATGTGCTAATATGTTCTCTTGACCTGCTTTAAAAAAAAAGGAAAAAAAAGTGAAGTAAGTCTGCAGAAAAGGCTGTGGTACGCTGATCTGGTCTTTCTGGATTCTCCTAATGTCGTTTCAGGTGACAGAAACGAGAACCGGGCCTCTCGGATGCAGCAACTATGACAATCTGGACACGGTCAGCTCTGTTCTGGTTCACAGCCCTGAAAACAAGGTTCAGCTGCAAGGTAAATGCAAAGCATGAGACACTGTATGAGTAGCTCACAAATGGTTCATGTCTTTAACCTGTTAACTGTCCCACCCAGTGCATATCTGATGCTTCCAAATCTGCAGCTTATACCACCACAATAAGGCTACAGCTGTTTATATGGAAAGCTTGACCCTTAAAGATCAGCAGCTGATTTAAACTATTCATTTTTTATGCTTTTTTTAATATTTTGGTTTGGCCAGTTAAAAGGTTAAGAACATCTGTGTTTGAAGGTTAGGGGTGAATAGGGGTTACCGGCTGCACACTTTGAAATTATAACCTCTTAACTCATATTATTCAGAATCAGAAATACTTTAATAATCCCAGAGGGAAATTACTTTTGTTACACTCTCCAGTTACAGTTTTATATAATATATACACACATCCAACTATACGATATAATAAAGATAAAAAATAATAATAAAAAGAGATAAAATATATACACATATAGCTCTTCTGTATATATATCTGAACATATATCTATGCATATGTAAAAACTAAATCCAAGTAAAGTGATAAATCCAAGTAAAGTGATACGTGGCCTGCAAAAATAGTGCATATTGCACGTTCACTGTACTTGCACTTTATATTCCTCTTGATTTCATACATTTTTTATATTTGTTTTCATCATCTTCATATAACAAGATTGTAGGTATCCATTAACAGTATTTTTATTGCTAAATAAATTAACATTTTTGTCCAATATTTTGTTCAAAATAAACCAACAATTTCATCTACATGTGTATATCCTTGAGTTATTTTGTCGGAATGGCATAGTTTAAGTTTTTATGCCTATATCGGCCAATAACGATATGTTGCGTATCTTTAGTTTAAAAAAGTCGTGGGTCTGAAAACTGATTAAAAATAGGATCATAAATGATGAGTTGTGGGAGATGAAATTACATGATCTTTAGAAAACCTTATCTTATATGGTAATTTTGTGCATTTTGTTGATACCCTATTCATTTGTATGGAAGAGGATTAGGGCCACTGAAAAAAAAAAAAGTTAACTGATTTTTAAATTTTATTTCAGTTTAACATTGGAAAAAAGTCAGAATTCTGACTTTTTTCTCAGATTTCTGACTTTAATCTCAGACTTCTGACTGAATTCTGACAATAAAAAAAGTCAGAATTCTGACTTTTTTCCCATGTTAAACTGAAATAAAATTTAAAAATCAGTTAACTTTTTTTTTTTTTTTCAGTGGCCCTAATCCTCTTCCATACATTTGCATCTGTTACTGAATATGACTGTTTTTTTGTTGTTTTTTTCTACAGTTCAGTTTTTTTTTTAATGTTTTAAATTTCCCTGTACTGTAAAGCCTCTTATTTTTCTGTTCATTTTTTTTTCACATTTCTACCTTTGTGTAAATCTACCTGTTCAGTTGTCTGCCTCTTTGTTCCTGTCCCCATTTAAAAAGCATTTTTCTACTCTATTAAAATGCCACACTGAAGTCGATCCCACAAAGTGCCATTCAGCTTCTGTCAGCACAAATAGATGGAAATGATTAATATGGCACCTTTATTCTAATGTTAACTGATATTTTCATGTCTGTGTGCACGTTTAAGGGCTACTTCAAAGGAAGAGGACTATATTTCTGGTTTGATTTCCTTGCTGTGCTAATGCAGTCCGCTAATACACATCCAATTAAGGTAGACTAGGTCACAAAAGAATTCATGAAGCTTTAAATATTCTACTTTTGATTAGAAATATTTTGAAACCTTTAAATCATTAAATTAATAACATTCAAGTTATTGATTAATGAAACAATCTGAAGTTAAGTGATCTTATGATCGGAATCATGATTAAATAAAAAAATGACAAATAAATAATTTCTTATTATTTCTTAGGGGTTAAGATCTGAAACTAAAAAAAAAATCACTTCTAACTCAGTTGTTTTTTGGAATCTAGAGATCTATTTGAACCTCAAATTATTTGATATTAACCAATTCTTTAAAATCTGAAAAGTTTAATTTACTTTAAAAAATCTAGGAAACCATTTGTCTTGAAAAAGGTAAGTAAATTTAACTATTAGTCTTACATTTTGTTTACATACGATGTATTTTGTTCATTGTACTTAAGACTTTATTGGATACACTTTAATGAAGTTAGTTTAATTTAGTTTGGAAAGTTGTTTTATCTTCCAGTAAATTAATTTCTTCAAGTTAATCTAACTTACATAAATAAATTATTTTACTAGGAATCTAGTGAAGCAATTGCCTTAAATAATTGAAGTAGCTTCAAAAAAGATGATTGAATTACAAGGTTTAGTGTTTTATTTTTAACAAAGTGTAATTCTACTAATTAAACTCACTCCCACTATCAACTATAGTGAAAGAAATTGACCTGCAATAAAGAAAACTGCCTCCAAAGGAATTTTCTTTTATCTCCTTATTTAAATCCAGTTTGTACAGAGATCCTGGTGAAGATTCTTAGTCATTCAAGTCATAGTTATTCCAAAAAAGTAAAAAAATTAAAAAAATTAAAAAAATCCACTGTTTTTCAAGTTTAAAGACGTTTTGCTTCCCATCAAGGAAGCTTTTTCCAATTCAAAATCTCTGGTTTAGAATGGAGTTTCAAGCTTTATAGAGTCGCCATATAAAGCTTTGTTAAGGCTTAGAAAACATGCAAATTGAACCGGAAGAACAGATCCACCTCTTAGGAATGGGGAGTCATTGAGATCTTTTTTAGCCTGGTCTCTGGCTCTGAAAGGGGGGAGTCGTTAGGGTCATCGTTGGCCTGGCTGACCAGGCGAGACGTTTTGCTCCCCTGCATGGTGATGAGGATTGAGATGATAGCTGGAGCTTTTGCAGCTATCATCAAACTGCAGATGGGTCAATATGACAAATTGATAAAATAAAATAAAAACAAAGATGCAGAAAAAGGAAGACTTTCTGGGGGTGGGGGTGTTTTGTTTTTTTTATTGTTTTTTTTTATCCCAAACACAATTTATACAAAATCGGTTGCAGGCTTATATGTCTAAAAGACTTATGGGAGAATGTATTATTTTAACGTGACCAGATATCTGACATTAAAATCTGGGGACATTTCCAGCTTGTAGATAAAAAGAAATTAATCTTACCGAGATGGAATCAGGAAGGATTTTTACAAATGTATTTATATTTAAGCGACAAAAAATTAAGTGTAAAAATGCGTCTGGTCACCTTATATTATTTTGTCTGAAGAAACCAATTTTTGACTTTGACACAGGTAAGTTTGACACTAAAACATCACCAAACAAATATAAATATCCAGTAAACCATGGCTGTGCTAGACCCATGATCCGGGGTTTATCTGCGGAAAAGATGAAGAAGGATGCAAGAAATCTAAGTTATCATCTAGATCAGAGGTTCCCAATAATTTGAGCCTGAGACCCTGAAATAAACAACAGACTGGCGACCTCCTAAAACTACATTTTCTCTTGATTACTTCATTCTATAGTTATTTATAAATATAACATAAATAAATGTTAGTACTTTATATTTTTATTTTATTAAATTTTCCTTTTAATGTATTATTTTATGTTTTTTTATTGATTGGGCAAAGGGAAGAATAACAAATAAATGCTAAATCTATTTTATCTCATGGGATATTCATGCATTTTATTATATATTTTTGACTTCCACATACCTCACTAATCATTTCCCAATAACTGTTTAAACCATTTCGCATCATCACTTGGTAGCTTTGACCCCCCACTACGTAGGTCCTGACCCCGACTTTGAGAACTCTTGATCTAGATCATCTAATTAATTATTAAAAATAATAATATTTTAGAAGAGTCTAGCCAAAGTTTAAAACTACTTATGAAAATAAAATCTTTGGAATCATCAGAGGCATTAAGATCAGTGATGTCCTCACAGTCTGATAGGTGTGAAGAAATGTTGCGAAGCGGCAAGGGCAAATTGGAACCGCATGCTGATAAATATCTACCATTCTGAACTTCAGAATGTGCTCCAATGAATTGTTACTTAATGGGTGTGAACACTTATTTCACTCTTGTGTGTTTTTCATTTCAATTGTATGGACTAAATGTAACACTGTATTTGAATTAGTCCTTGAGATTGCTGAAATGATAAAAGCCCCACCACAATTAGCAGTAAGTGTTAGAGTTTACTGTTGCAGCGTTAATGCACATTTTAGCAGAATGCTTTCTGGTTTATGTGTTGGAAAATATAATTGTCATTATGCGTCTGCCTCCTGCTACTCTCAGCGGGAACAAGTCGTACTGTGTCAAGCCATCTTGTTCATCATGAAGGGTGCAGGCGGAATAATCCCGAACTCGACAAAAAAAAAAAAAGACTGCAGAGGCTTATTTTTACAAAATGTCAGAGCTCTTGCTCAAAGGACACCTCTGATGATATTTTCACTTTTCTTATTGACCCAAACCTGCTGCTTAGCAGCCTGTAAATTCCTACTCCCCCACAAGAGCTGTTCCTTAGAACTGCCGACATTAATCTTTTATCTTCTTGCCATCTTTTTCATCCTGCTTGAAATTTTAAATTGTAGAAATGTTCAGTAAGAGCCGACTCAAAGACCATAGTGCCCATTTATGATACCAGTTGTACCATTGGCCTAATACACATTAATTTCTTTCTGAATAACAATGAGAGTATTGATGTGTACTAAACCACCTGACTGAAGTCTAGGAAGGAGCAGGAGCAGATCTAGAGGGGGGGCTGGGGGTCCATGGCCCTGCCTTATGATATGTTAGGGTGACCATATTTTCATTTGGGAAAACCAGGACACCTTGGAGCGGATCTCTGTTCCCATGCATAGAGATGTCTGTGGCATGCACTCACTTAACATAGACCTACGTAATCCTACAATAACATGATATTTACAGTTGATTTATTACAAATGCTTTTCAGTAAAAGTCAACGGCAATAACTCCAATAACAAACGATAATTTCATTCAAAATGTATTCAATAAAAATGCTTAAACATTCCTGTAACGAATGAAAAGCACAACGAAAGAAATA